ATTATTCCTTCCCCACCCACCGCAAAAAAGTAGTCCTTTTATGTTGTGCAACACTGGCAAATGTTCCAGAGTCTGAAGCAATATTTCAGGCTCAAAATGCTCACAAAATGGGGTATTTAAAAAAGAACCGGAGAGTGAGCAATCCATTCATAACGATAAAGATTTGTTAATTTGTGTGTTGGTGTTGGGTGGCAGCTTTTCTGCCTTTTCTAACAACATTGGAAGTATGGCTGCCAAAAACGTACCTACTTAGGGGGTTCAAACTGTGGAGCGGGCAGACTGCCTGTAATTTCATCAAAATCACTCGATTGAATTCAGTCCTAGCAGTAATATGGTAGTGGCAGCCTGAAGTTTGTGAGCAAGAGACCAACTCTTTCTGAACATGTCTAGCCTCCAGAGGTTCCCAGCAGCTTTGAAGGTCGCCTTGATAGGTACCAAATCACATTACTTTGTATTCATATATCTCAGCTGCAGCTCTACAATGTTGTTTATGGAATTTAATAACTCAAATGCAATAATGCTGTGTGTGCGTTAATGTAGAGTCTCAATTGACTTGACCATAAGATAAATGGAAAGAGAAATGGTGGCACATTTCTACAGGTTGTTTTTAATAAGCATGTTATTTAGTTTATCAGGCTGCTGGTATAATACCTTCCAACCAACTCTTCCACACAGATTTGTTAATGTCTCTTTTTCCACAGGAACATTGATTCCCTGCAGACACATCTCTATTAAACCTCCAGAAACTTGCAACTTCAAAATTAGATTAAGTAGCAGGAACACTATTCCTGGAATAAAAGAAAATTGAGTGTGTTATTGAATTCATGCCACATTGTCTCAAAATGAGATATAGTATTATATAGTGGCTTTTTTTCTATTCCTTGTAACTCGGGCAGCTGGACACACTATTTTGATTGGCCATGGTCCCACATGAAAGGATATTGAGTCATATTCTGATTATTGGGTTTTATCATTTTTTTTACAGAATTTTCGCTGCTGAAGTTTGTTTTTTCCTTGTTTGTCTACTTGTCTTAGTTTTCAGATTTTGTTAAATGTAGAAAATAAATTGAAATTGAAGATGCAACATTGCTCATTTTAACTCCTTGGGACGATTGTCGTGTTTCTAATTTAAAGCAGAACCTTGCTGTTTTGGGGAGCATCTTTGCTATAAGCCAAAGCCTTAACGGGTAGAGTGCTTCGAGCTGGACAAACGGGGAAGCTTGTCAGACTGTGTTCCCCATGGCAAGCTATACAGTTTTAACTTTCTACTCCAGCAGTACCCCACACATACACTCTGGGATCCCCAAGCATTGGCTTTTGCCAACCTGTGCCTAAGCTCTCTGGAATTGGTTAGAGTGCATCTATCCAGGGTAGAGAGCACGCATTCCAGACACAGGGACATTATCTAAGTAAAATTGTTATCAAATTATTTTACCAGTTATAATGAGTTATAACCTATTGATGGCACTGATTATTATTAGATATTTTTGACAGCCATAAACAGGATGCTGGCCTATAGCAACATCAGTTGAGTTCAGATCTGCAGACGTCATGCTCAAGCTGTACAGTGCTCTGGTCAGTGCTCTGAGACCCTAACCTGCTCGAAGGATGGTATATAAATACAACTTGTAGTTGGTCGGGCCACACTGTGAATGCTTCATACAGTTCCAGTCGCCACAACATAAGGGGGCTACCCAGAGAGGAGAGCAATGAGGATGATCCACAATGTTAGAGAAATGAGCTATGAGCAATGATAGACAAGCCTGGGCTTTTCAGTCTTGAGAGAAACATTCTTATAAAGGTGGATAACATTTTAAACAGGATTGAAAAAAGAAACCCAAAACAATATTTGAGGATGCACCAAGACAGCAGAACAAGAGTAAATAGGTTTAGAATTGCAAAGGGTAATTTCAGAACAGATACAAGAAAGTTTTTCTTTACCCAGAGGGTAATTAACGACTGAAACAGGTTTCCAGGAAGGGTGGTTGAAGCTAGAACACGGGACTCATTAACAAAAACCTTGATACTATGATGGGAGAACAGTTGGGTGGGTATTCTGGAAGGATGAGATCAGATGAGCTAAAGGATCTTCTTCATCCAAATTGATCTTGTCATGTATTTTTCCTGCAATTTGCATATTTGCATATACTGCGATAGCTGCAATGCACATTCATGATGTGGAGTTATAATAATAATAATAATAATCCTTGCATTTGATATAGCGCTTTTCACGTCGGAAGGACGCCCCAAAGCGCTTCACAGAACACACTGTAAAGTGAATTGACAGTATATTTGTGGGCGAACGCGGCAGCCAATTGCGCACAGCAATGTCCCACAAACAGTCGTAGATTGAAAATGACCAATTTTATTATTGTTTTTGTTTTTTGGAGGGATTATTATTAGGCTCTGTGTAAGGAAACTTGCCCAAGGTTTCGCTCTCTGCCTGGAATTGAACTCAGGTCTCTCACTTGCAAAGCGAGTGCTCTAACCACAGAGCTACAGGACTCCTAAGCTGCAAGTTATTCAATTGAGAGACCTCGGAAGGAAAGTTATTTAACTTTCCATGTTTATGGTAGCACTTCGGTTCAGGGATAGGTTAATTATATCAAATATTTCAGAATTTTTTCAAAACAAACTAATGACAGTGTCTTGTGCCAGGTGAATGTTGGTTGTCAGTTGGACCGACAGTGTGAGGGATAAGGAGTATTCTCAAACCAGTCACATGATTGAATTAGATGGAGTTTGTATGTACTGTATGGCTGATGACTGGTAAATCAGAAAGTGATAGAGTGGATCTCAGCTACAAAGAGACTATCCAGGGTAGCGGTTAGGGAGCTAGATTTGGATTTGGTGCCTCTGGACGAGGGAGGGTGAAGCGAATTAGGGTAACTGTTGTGTGATGTCTGCTGGAGAGTATGTGTGGGTGGAAATTGTGTGAGAACAGCATCAGGCTCAGCAATTGTTACCTCCCACAGTGAAGTATGGTCACTGTATAATCCATAATGAATGGGCATTTGACAAGGTACTGCCTGTCGCACATCAAGTGCTGGGTGAGAGCTAACTTCCTGCAGTTTAATGTCAACAAGGTTAAGGCACTCCTGCTTGGCTCCCATCAGCACCTCCATACCTCAGGTGCTGACAGCAACTCCCTCCATGGATGCACTCTACATCTCACAGAGCCAATACAGAACCTTGGCGTCATGTTTGACCTCACCTGCCCTTCATGCCCCACATCCATGCTACGACCCGCTCCGCCTTTCCTCACCTCCACCACATCGCTCGGCTCCACCACTGTCTCACACCGCAGGCCCCCGAGTTCCTCATACACAGATTTATAGCGTCCAGACTCAACTACGCAAACTCATTGCTTGTCGGCCTCCCCCAACTCCTCCTTCCATAGGCTGCAGATCATCCAGAACTCTGCAGCCCGTGTCATCACCCGCATCAGGCTCCGAGACCCTATTAGTCCCAAATGTAATTTTGTTGTTGTTGTTGTTGTAAGGGTTGTGGCAACTTTATAAATTATTGCTGATGTAATTGCCCATCTATATGAAAACAGGACGAAGGATAGGAGACCTGACGAGTGTGGTATTTGTTTAAGTGTTTTATGCAACCGTTTTCAGTGTTCCTTTCCTACTGCAGTGAAATACCTGTACATTTATACTCTGATACAGTGTTCTGCCCAGGACCTCGCTATGCAGGTTTCCACAGGGGTTGGCCTGATAATTGATGAGCGACCATCCACATCACCAGTGGAGATAGTTCCACAGCGAGTACTGCCGTTTTGTCATCATGACTTATTCAACCTATGGTTTTAAAATTGATTTTGTGACATTACACCTCTGAAAGTATGAAAATAAATGTTTTTATAGCAGCGTCCAAGCCACGTGTGTGATCTAAAACAAAATCTGTCTCAACAGCTACCTGCTTAAGAAAAAGAGAGACGCCACTGTCTCCTGGAGCCATCTAACAACTGTCCCAACAATAAATGATTCAGACTTGAACCTGTAATAGGAGACCAATGGCCCATTAAAGATCACTTAAACATGGTCCCAAAGGGGCTGCTCGTAGATAGGCTGCACTGTCTGACATACTTATTGTATGGTTACATAATTTCTGTATTTTGATAGAAAATGTATCCCTTTGGCACAGATGTTTATCCCATTAAGATTGCAAACTATAAATAAACAGCAGAGGATGCGTGTGTAACCTGGCTCAAAAGTATTCTGTTAACAGGAGTGAATCCCCTGGTAGTTGATAGAGAGCTTGTTTTGGTTCTCAGTTTATACCCACTGAAACGGAATTGACTCTCTTCAAACAAGTGCCGTGCCGCAGATGAGAAAATATTTTGGGAAACGTCACGTGGCTCTCGATGCTGGTAATAAAACCGCATTGATTCTTCCCTATATATGCAGCTACTGCCATCCAGCAGCCAGTCAGAATCTGTATCTGTAGCCCTTGGGTATGAGTGAACTTTCATGTTATTTATTGGTTGGTTTAGACTCTTGCTTCTGTTACTCTTCCCTGTCTTCCCAAATGTTCCTCTAACGGTTTACCTTCACAGATCCGCTCATCCACCACTCCATTGAGTCTAAAGGACACTAACTTACTTACTCCTGCTCTTTACTATATGTTAAAGTAAAATATCTCAGCCTCTCCTAACTGGCTACTTAGCCTGAGTCTCTGCACATACAGCGAGGCAGCACAAGGAGCTGTTTCTTGATGGGATTCTATCCTAAGATGACTGCAGGGAATAAAGTTAGGGGAACAAGGAATGGGTAAACGAGACAAAAATATTTAAGGAACTTAAGAAAAGAAAAAACAAGACAGCAAAATAATAAAACAGTGGAATTAGAAAAACTGAAATGAGAAAATACTTACTTTATTGGACTCTAAGAATCACAGAGAGGATGAGGAGGATTTGTTTAATGTGTGTTCATCTTTCCTGGATCTCTTTTTTGTTTAAATGTATTTGTTTTTCTCAATTTGTCTCTTGTCAGGAGTGTGCACAAACGCTTGGTGCAGTCTCCTCAGCAGCCTCGGGTGGCCTCCCAGACGGCTCCTGCCCCATTAGTTGCCAAAGAGCGCCATCTAGCTATCGCCAGTGCCCTCTGGAAGAATTTCTTCCCTTTTTTGAAGAGCCAAAGACTGTCGCAGATGCCTCCGACACAAGTAGCTGACGCTGCTGCAGGTTAGTGTGATTCTCATTAAAGAGCTGTGCCCTGACTGTCAACCGTTAAACATTGCACCTAATACCCATTACAAAAGATCCATTTTCCACAAGAGTGCTACAAGAAAACCTCCTGCACTCAATCTGAGTTGAGTTAGAAATTGCAGCAAATATGAAACCTTGGTTAATTTTTTTTTAGGGGGAACAATTGTATAATCACTACACTTTGCAGAGAACTGTGTGAAACCCTTTGAAACATTTCAACATGATAAGGCGCTATATTAAATGCACAGATTATTATTATTACTCAGCACTGCCTTCCTTTCTTTATTACATTTCCATCTTCTAATAACATTTATATAGTGCCCTGAACACTGGGTAGTGTCTCAGAGCTCCCTACAGTGACAGAGCAGAGGGATTGAGGCAGGGAGTTCCAGGATTTTGGGGTGTAGTGACAGGAAAGCACAGCTACCGATAGTGAAGAGGAGGGACAGGCACTTGCAGGAGGCTGAAGCCAAGTGAGTGAAGGAGTGAGTGGGGTTTAAGCATGTCAGACAGGTAGAGAGGTGACAGGGCATGAAGTGATTTGGATGTACAAGAAACGTGAACCATTAATCCAGGGAAATGTTGCTTTAATGAGACTGAAACCATGCCACTGTCTATTCGATAAGACTATGCCAATTCTTTATAATACACATTGAATGTACAATAGCAATATCTCTGTGTTCCTTTTTCACTAAGTAGGAAAGTATATTGTTTTCTATTGCTACTGTACTCAAGAGTGGAATGGGACCACAGTTCATTGTACTTCTAGAAAATCATTCTGTGTTTATAAAAAAAAGTGAATGAAATACATTAAAACCACTCCCACACAAACTTAAAGTGGTGAAGATTACAAATACCAGTGAACAGTTGCAGAGATTTAGTACAATTGAGTTTAAGCGACCTTTTATGGCACCTGCAATATGGAACTTAATCTAAAACCTTGGAGTAAATGTAATAATAATCCTTGCATTTGGTATCGCGCCTTTCACGTTGGAGGATGTCTCGAGGGACTTCATGGGATAAACTGTAAAGCGTAATTTCTGTTTTGTGGGTGGAAAATCAACTATTTATTACTAGCTGTGATTTTGGCAGTGTGTAGGTTGGCTTGTAGACCTGATGCTGTAGCCAGGCTTGTAGCCCTGACTATCTGACCCTATGACTAATACTACAAGTCTGACTTATTATTGCAATAATTTGAACTTTAGTTTGGTCAGGTTGTTTTCTGGATTTGTAATGAAGTAGAATGGAAACTTCCTCAGTGTTGCATGATTTTCAATGTCACATTTAGTATTTCTTACTGAAATATTAACTTTAATTTTGTAGAATGCTCTCCTACTGCACACAGATTTGGATATTTCTCAAAGTCTAATGCCTTATTTATACTGCATTTTTTGTCTTCAAATTAACTCAAAATGATGCCAAATCAATAGTAAAAAGTTGCATCAATCTGGTTTTAAGTATCATAATTGCAAAACAAGTTGTGCTGAGGAACTTTGAGAAGGTAGTTCATCCTTGAAAGGCATTCTCATTGCTGCAGTATGAATGCAAACAGTGCAAATTATTTCAGTCTCTGCTGACAAAATGACCTTTAAAGTTCTGGGGAGATCCACAAGGGTTTTATTGTTACTAAATCGCTGTTGTACTTTCAGCTGTTTAATAACATTACAAAATTAAGCGACTTTTGGCTCTTGTTAGAGGAGAATCTAAATGTTTCCTGCTCTGAATCACTTCAGTCCTGACAGTGTAAATGAAATATTAGTGTCAGTACAAAGTACTGAGATCTCAGCCAAGCCACTAATTTAGCACTAGCTGTCCAATAATGTTTTTTTTTAAAAAATACAATTTTGATTGACTTATAACACCTACTATAGTTGGAAGCTTTTGTCTGAGGTATTAGCAGAATTTGATGGTCATTAATACAATTTGTTTTCAAACCTTATATATTTCAGGTTTTACACTGCTGGCTATGGATATGCCAAGTGCAGCACCTCCTGAACTTCAGCCACAGCCTCTGGAAGCCATCCTGAGGCTATTTGGCTGGGATGACATGGTCTTTCCACAGCTTGTGTCCCGATATCTCATCCATCTCATTCAGAACAGGTAAAGCCGCCTTGTTTTCCTGGGCAGGCAGAATCTGTTACATTATCTATTTCATATTTCTATTATATTAAGTTTTTAAATGTTTCATCGGGCTCAGTATGTAGCACCGTCACCTCTGAGTTAGACGGTTTTGGGTTCAAGCCTCACATGAGGCCTTTGAACTCATATAGTTTAGGCTGATACTCCAGTATAATGCTTGGGGTGTGCTACCTCGTTGGAGGGGTCATGTTTTGGTTGAAATGTCAATCAGAGTATTGTCTACCCGTTCAGGTGGATGTTAAAGATCCCATTGCACTGTTCGAAAGAGAAGAGAGTTTCTTCTAGTTTCTTGGGCAGAAATCCCCACATAAAATTGATCATTCACTTCATGGCTCTTTGTGGGACACTACTGTGTGGAAATTGGCTGTCATCTTTGCCCGCAAAATCTAGGCACTACACTTTTGTGTGATTCCTGTTAAGCCCTTCGATATGCCCTCCCACATGAAAGGCGCTATACCAAATGTAAGGATAATAGAATTATTCAGTATCAATACTAGGCTATATGGAAAGTCTCAAGAAACACTGCTTCTATGTTGCTTTTGGTTGTAAGGCTTTGTGCATGATTATGTTTAGATAGAAACGTAACCTTGGATAGACAAGGATGTCCTGCTCAGGTACTTCAGCTTGCCAGTAACCGGCCTGATAAGGCACTTGGACAATCATTTGAAGGAGAGCTGCCCACTTTGTTTTGCATCACGGTTTTGAATTTTCTTTTGGTCAGCTGGGTGTCTTACACAGGAAACCCAGCGCCGTACTTTGAAGTATCCAAACCAAACCGAGAATTCCGCATATGTATGGTTTCTGTTTATCTGGTATGAAGGGAACATCTTATCAGTAATCCAGGATTGGCAAGAGGCAAGGCACTGGGATTTCAGAGTATGCTTTGGTGTATTGCTGGAGTTTAAACAGCTGGTCACTGAACACTGGCAATCTTCCTGCTGCTTATCCAGTTAGACCCATCCTACCTATCAGGATGTTGACTTGCAAGTTTTGGATCCAACTCAACATTGGGAATAAACAAGTAATTTAACAAGTAAAATGAGCTCACTTTAAATCAGAGTATACATCTGAGATTTAAAATGCTGTTTTTAAAAAAAAAAAATTTTCATATGTAGAAGTTAAACTAAAGTACAAAAGATCAAGAGGGAACACTCCAAGGTTGAAAGAATTTGAGAAAATTACTTTCTATTTTTTAATTTTAGCTGTTGAGTGTTGTAATATGGTTATGTTGCCTTTCATGTAGCTCCTGTAAAATTGATTTCTGCAAATGTTGAATAATAATATACAACTTGGGACATGTACACAACTCAAATCAGAAGTAAAAAACAAAATAAGTTATTAAAGTATGTATTTTACAATTTCTCAAGGAGCACAACATGATCTTGTACCCGTGCTCTTTCATGCGCAGAATGCAACCAACCTCGGAATTATGCTGTAGGTTTGTAATGCATTAACTCAACTCTTAAACTCTGTTAAAGGTAATTAGCTTTTTGAGTTTCTTTTAGAATGAATATTGTGTGTGTGGGGTGGGGGTTTGGTCAATCAGTCATGCAGAAGCCCATCACCACGCTTAAGAGTATTCAAACCAGATTGAGAGTTCCATAAATGTATGCCACCGACACATGGAAATTTCTCTGTGTCTGCAATGTGCAATTTCTCCCAGAAAGGATGTATCTTGCTTACCTAGTTCTGACATTATTACAATGCAATTTATATTAACGTAGCACCTTTCATGTCGGGAGGACGTGCCAAAGTGCAGGTTGGCCAGAGCCAGTGCTTGGGGACTCCAGAGTGTGTGTTGTATTACTACTGGAGTTTAACAAGCTAAAGTTGCAATGTTTGCTATTGTGAGCACTGTCTGCCAAACTTTTCTCTTTGACCGTGCCTTCAGCTCCCCTCTCGACTCTCTTCCTCCGCCTCGCTCCCTCCCTTCCCTCCCCTCACCCTGACCATTTCCCCCCTCCTCTCTCCCTCCCTTCCCTCCCCTCACCCTGACCATTTCCCCCCTCCTCGCTCCCTCCCTTCCCTCCCCTCACCCTGACCATTTCCCCCCAATGCTCGGGTCATGACCCAACTGTGCAGCGCCTTGGGACGTCCTCCTGACGTGAAAGGCGCTCTATAAATGGAATCTTGTTGTTGTTGTTGTTGTCGTTGTCGTTGTTGTTGTTGTTGTTGTTGTTGTTCCTGCTGTTTGCCCAGCTTGGACATTTCTTTGACTTGTAAGATTAACGGGAGATGAATGTGAAGAATCTCTGTTCCCAATGACTAGTCTGCCATTCTATGTCTGGCCGACGAGCCAAACTGGCTGGTCTGTCACAAGCATTGTGTTGTGAGTATATTGGAACTCTTAGGCTCAGGAATTGGGCTACTGAGATCACCTCAGAGGTTGAGTCGATTCCAACATTTTGTTGCCAAGCATGCCACCTTGGATCCAGCCAAGCAAAACAGAGACCCTGCTTACCTTCCTCTCCCCCTCCCCCCAACCTCAGACGAGGATGAACATTTGTAAAGGACATGGCACTTCATTTCTGTAAAGAATTAAATACTTCTTAATTTGTAATTATCTTGAAATAAACTTAAAAATAAAACCCTGGTATCTTCTTTGATACAGAAATCCTACTAGAGTCCGTGGGGAATTGCAAGTTGCTAGTTATAATGTGCAGTCCTAGACTTTAAACTGCATATCAGCAGTAGAGAGATTTACCTTCACTAAATGGGATAGTGAAGGTAAATCCAGAACAATACTTTGACACACCAAGACAGCAGGACAAGAGGCTTGGTTGTGAAGGCCATTTTTTAAGTAAGATTTCAGAAAATATTTACACAGAGGCTAACCAACAACTAGAATGGATACCAGGAAAGGGGCTTAACTGGGACATCTCAAAGCAGTTCTCTGGATTTTTACTGCAAAGTATAGTGACTGTGTATTTTGTCAGTAAACATTTGCAAATTTGTCCAGCAGTGTCCCACAAGCCGCCATGAATGACTAATTGTATCTGGGGGATTTCTAGCAAGAACACTCCCTTCTCTATCCAAATAATGACATTGAATGTTGAACGTCCACCTGAAAAGGCACACAGCTGGTCTCATCTCAAGGACAGCACCTCCAACAATGCAGCTCTCTCCTAGCACTGCACTGGAATGTCAGCCTATGCTGTGAGTTCAAAGCCACAACTTGGGGTTACATACTGAATCAGCCTTACGCACAAAATGTGACAGACAGTCATTTAGTTTGTTTGGAAATGCCGTCCAGCATCTCGTGCATTAAAAATAGCTGATTTCCAGATCACTGGGTCATCACTATTGTCTGTACTTCACAGCACTGTATGGAGGTTGTGACATTTCAGAAAAAAACAATGTGTTGTAAATTGCTAACAATCTTCTTCAAATTCCTCTCAGTTCCGTAGTGGAAGCTCTTACAAGTCTAGGATGCAACTGGTATCAAACATCTTTCATCCATTCGTGGTTTCGGTGTGTTTTGCAGCAACATATAAATCAACCTACAGTTGCTCCAGACAGAAAGGATCATGGCCACACAGTTGGTAAGCAGAGAAAGACATGTTTTATTGAGTTGTAATTTAACAATGTGGGAGTGTGAAAGGCAAACCGTAATTTGAAATACTATATTATTAGGCTCGTCTCGCCACAAAACATAATCCTTGTTTTCAGGCACAATGAGTAGCCAGTATCTGTGAAGGGTAGTTCTAAATATATATTTTGACAACGTTGTGGTTAGAATCTCCACTATTTTGTAATTTTTGCCTATCTCAAACGCACTGAATGTTAACCGTTCTACTCAAACAGTTGTTATTTTTGCAGCCACTATGATGCACTCACTCTTTGCTACTTATATTCCTTTTCACTGTTCATCAATAACATCATTTTGGGGAACATATGATTCACTCTGTATACATTTTGCACATAGCTCGCACAAACTACTAAGGGGGGTGGGGGGGTAAATTCAATCACATGTAATCCGTTACAATTAAAATTAGGACCGATGAAAGTGGGAGAGCAGATTAACCAGGGCGATGAGCAAAGAGTGTCAAGCGGGGAAAGGAAGCCCAGGGATAGGGTACTGGTGAATAGGACTAATAGCCCGAAGTCAGAATTAAAGGTGCTATATCTGAATGCGCGAAGCATTTGAAACAAGATAGATGAGTTAAAGGCACAAATTGAAACAAACGGGTATGATCTAGTAGCCATCACCGAGACATGGTTACAGGGAGATCAAGGGTGGGAGCTAAATATTCCAGGGTACGTGGTGTATAGGAAAGATAGGCAATGTGGTAAACGAGGAGGGGGTTGGCCCTGCTAATAAAGGATGGGATAAAAACAGTAGAGAGGAAAGATTTTAAATCAGAAAAGCAGGAAGTAGAGTCAGTATGGGTAGAGGTACGTAACGACAAGGGGCGGAAAACTCTAGTGGGAGTAGTTTATAGACCCCCGAACAGCAGTCACAGTATCTCTCAAGGTATAAATCAGGAAATTAGCAGAGCATGTAGGAATGGAAAAATATTAGTTGTGGATGATTTTAATCTGCACATAGATTGGGACAACCAAATTGGGAAAAATATGATAGAGGAAGAGTTTATAGAATGTATTAGGGATAATTATCTAGATCAGTATGCCGAGGAGCCAACCAGGGAACAGGCCATATTAGACCTTGTTTTGTGCAGGGCTGATCAGCAAACTGGAAATTAAGCCTCCTCTAGGGCAAAGTGATCATAATATGATGGAATTTAGCATTAAGTTAGAGAGAGAAGTAGTTAAGTCCGAAGCAAAGATTTTAAATTTAAGTAGAGCCAATTTTGCTGGTATGAGAGACGATTTAGCCAAAATAAACTGGGAAATTAGACTTAAGGATTTGTTAGTAGACCAGCAATGGCAGATGTTTAAGGAGATAGTGCAAAATTCCCAGCGAGCACATATTCCTTTGAGGAATAAGAATGGCACGGGAAAGGTGGCCCAACCCACAAGGTTAAGGCCCACGGAATTAATGGGAACATATTAGCATGGATTGAAGAGTGGCTAACAGGTAGAAAACAGAGAGTAGGGATAAACGGGTCATTCTCGAATTGGCAGGATGTGACCAGTGGAGTGCCACAAGGATCAGTGCTTAGGCCTCAGCTATTTACAATTTAGACGAGGACATTGAATGTAACGTATCTAAATTTGCGGATGACACTAAACTAGGTGGGAGAGTAAGCTCTGAGGATGATGCAAAAAGATTGCAACGGGATAGAGATAGGCTCGGGGAGTGGGCGAGTAGGTGGCAGATGGAATTTAATGTGGGGAAGTGTGAAGTTATTCACCCAGGTAGAAAAAATAGAAAAACAGATTATTTTCTAGAGGGGGAGAGCTTAGATAGTGTTAGTGTTCAGAGGGATTTGGGTGTCCTTGTACACCAGTCTCAAAAAGTTAGTTTGCAGGTGCAGCAAGCAACTGAGAAGGCAAACGGCATGTTAGCGTTCATTGCAAAAGGTTTAGAGTACAAGAGTAGCGAATTCTTGCTGCAACTGTATAGGGCCTTGGTGAGACCGCACCTAGAGTACTGTGTGCAGTTTTGGTCTCCTTATTTAAAAAAGGACAAACTTGTCCTTGAGGGGGTGCAGCGTAGATTCACTCGGATAGTTCCTGGGATGAGGGCACTGACCTATGAGGATAGGCTGAATAAACTAGGGCTATATCCTCTAGAGTACAGAAGAATTAGGAGAGATCTTATTGAAACATATAAGATTGTTAAAGGGCTGGATAAAGTAGACACTGAGGGTCTGTTTCCCCTGGTAGGAGAATCTATAACCAGGGGTCACAGTCTTAAAATTAAGGGTCAGCCTTTTAGAACAGAGTTGAGGAAACATTTCTTCACTCAGAGGGTAGTGAATTTTTGGAATTCACTACCCCAGAAGGCTGTAGATGCTCAGTCCTTGAACGTTTTCAAGGCTGAGACTGATAGATTTTTTAAAAATAGAGGGATTAGGGGATATGGGAATAGGGCAGATAATTGAAATTAGGTCTGAAGATCAGCCATGATCTTATCGAATGGCGGGGCAGGCTCGAGGGGCTGAATGGCCTACTCCTGCTCCTAGTTCTTATACACATGATTCGCATATGATTGACATAACTTGTATTATCCACCCCAAGGCAAAATGGGCGAATAAGTGGCATGTGTAGTTTAATGTGCAAGTCATTCTTTTTTTTTTTAAATATTTTTTATTGGAAAAGTTGTTTAAACAGTAATAGGAAGGAAGGAACAAAATTGCTATGTGAATTGCTGTTTCAAAACGCCAGTTCATTATCACTGATTTTTGGGGGGAGGGAGGAAAGATGGCTGAGTAATAGGCAATTTTAAGATTCAAATAAAGTCTAAGCATCAACGCATCTCAGATTTAGTGGTCATAAATATGGACTTTAGCTCTTATAATACCTTGCCTAATCACTGTTGTATGTATTTTTCACAGTGTGTTTATCTTAGGCAGCTTTAACTTGTGTGAATGTCTCAGGAATTGGATTAGTTAAAATAATCACGATTGATGCTGTAGCTCAATTTTAGCAAGCTACAAAATTTACTAATGGAATTATTACTCTTAAGTATGAATCATAGCTGAATTAATCGGTAAGACTTAATTTCAGTAGAAAGCATTCTTAATTAACACATTGAAATGGTGATGATCTTCTTTCCCTTCATAAACAGGCAGGATAAGCATGGACCAGTTGGCAGAGCTGACCAGGATAGTGTGTAAACTGCCAGAAATAGAGAATCTTTTTTTCCAGGCACAACTTACTCAGTCAGCAGTGAAGATGGAACCCAAAACTGCTGTCTTCCTATTCGTTAAGGTAATGCCTGTTTACAAACAGTAGGAGGTTGCATTTAATTAAAATAATAGATTAATTATGCTAACCATGTAGCTTACCAGTTTGGAGCAATGGCACTTGCTGCTTGTGTAGCTTGGACTGCTCCAGCTATTAGGACTTTGGCTTGTGGACAAGTTTCGCCCACAAAATACACAGTCATTTCATTTAGATTTCTCGAAGACGTAATAAGGAACTATATCAAATGCAAGGATTATTATTATTATTAAGTGTACCCCTCGAAGTTTCATTGAAGTCTTGCATTACTTTGCCAGACATGTCTCTTTTGGGACTAATTCAACCTTGGGGGTTTTCCCCTGAGTTTGTCTTTGTGCAAATTTAATCTGAACATGTATGGAAGGATATTAAACGCTGCATGATGGTTAGGATGGAAATATTGTGTATCCCAAGGGCAAACCTCATAGATTCAGTTGGACTAGAATTATAGGGTAAATAAAACAATTATAAGATTATACTGAGTAAAATACTGCACTGACTGACTGAAAAAGATGTACTGTTTGCTATGATCAATTAATTTACCAATGACCACAAATCACCCCCTTTAATTTTAAAACAACCAAAAATGTTCTGAGCACATTAAACTTTTAAGTATGATAGCATAGTGGTTAGAGCACTCGCCTCACAAGCAAGAGGACCTGGGTTCAGTTTCTGGGCGGGGCAAAATCTAGGCAACTCTCCACATGCCTCTATTTACTGAGCAATAAATAGGAACCTGGTTATGAGCTAATTGACGGATCGCTTTCTGGGGGTAATAATCCTTCAAAAATAAACGGCCACTCAATCCATGATTGTAGGACACTGTTGCGCAGCATTTCACCCACAAAATGTACAGTCAATCCACTTTATGGAATATCATGTGAAGCGCTTTGAGACGTCTCATTGATGTGATAACGTGATATATCAAATGCAAGGATTATTATTATTTAAACTTAGTTTGTGCTGCACTTTAAAGAGAGCATCAAATTCGAAGCTCCTGGTTTCTGAGTGTGGCAGTCAGGTCCGCAGTGCTCCAGGATACTGTTAATGACAGACGAGGAAGATATCCAGTTCCTTGTCCAGCGAGAGCCACCCTGTCTATTAGGGCTTTGGCTTTCGGGGTTAACATGAGGCGAGGTGAGAAGAATCCCTGACCCCAGTGATTGTTCTGCCTCTCAGTGTCCTGCAGATGAGCCAGGCTGGTTCTTCTGCCATCATCAACAACACAAAAATCAGGAGGACGGCCAAGGCGCTGAATGTTATCATCAGCAGTGTCTTGGAGAACTCCGGCCTCACTGCAAGAACTGAACTCCTGTGACCACGTCAAAGCATTGACATTCGTTTCTTCACTTCATCTTTATTTCTCAGGCCCCATGCTTTATTGGAAAGAGTATCACATATTTGCACAGATGTGTGTTAAAAGCCTTTTAAAATGACTTCTAGATAATGCAATCTGATGGGGGTCATGAGACCAAGTCAGCTCTTCGCTCTGCCTTATGTTTTGGAAAGGGAGAGAACGTTTCAAATCTCACCTCGCATTTTAGCTTGTTTTGCAAAGAGCAGTTATTTTGTACAACACACAGTCAGATCACATTTGCAAACTTGATTTACTTGGTGTTTTTCCACAGGCGGTTGGAAAGACTTACACTCAGTTACAAACTCTAGGAGACAAGTCTGCTATGGTCTCAAAAGCCCTGGAGTATGTAGGTGATATACTGAAATACACAAAGCCCTATTTAGCCAACAAAGGGCCAGCAGAAGGTCTGCAGTTGATGTACTGGACTGTTGGTAAGTGTCTCATCCTTTATGGTTCTACGTTTGACACATTGCAGATGAACTCCTTCAAACCTGGAGGGCACTGTAGTAGCAAAGAATACTGTGAGTGTGCGTGTGCGCTGTGGGGTGGGAGCGGGGAAGAAACACGGGTAAAATATGACAGCATTGCCATAGAATACAATTTTGTAAGTGGTTCGGCGGTTTCAAAAAATCAAACCTTCGGTTCCATGAAGCAATTACTGCCTTACTAGATGAGCAGTAAGAACATTCAGGGTTTTAGAGAGAGAGCTGGAGAGTGGAAAGTTGTTACTGGGAGAGCTGGAAACTTTTTTAAAAAAAGGACGATTTAGACACTCTGATATGATGGGCTGAATTGCACCATTTTTGTGCCAACAATTCTGGTTTTAGATATGCATATAGTTGACACTTTAAAAACAGAAATTCTGAAATAACATGGGGTTAAAGGCTCTCCAGTAAAGATGCTGTAAACGTTTTATTTGAGCGGCTGCCTATGATTGGGACCCTTTTTGTATTGTGGCTGTTCACAGTATTAGCATTTAGTTAATAAAAGAATCGTGTGATGAAGAGATGGACGAGGTTTATCAAAATATTCTTTTAAAAAACAATCTTGTTTTCCACAGAGGAAAAAAAAAGCTTCGCTTAAGCACACTGCTGAAATAGACTGTCTAAAATAAACCTAATGCAACATGATAGAAAGGAGAGGAAGCATCCTCACTATGCACATGCGGTGAGCATCAACCCAGTGTGCTGTCATTTGTGATCTAGCAGTGAAAATAAGCTTCACGTGTGCTGTGAAACATACCTTTAAGGAAGAAGAAAAATGACACCCGATATTTTCGGGCAGCTCGCACTTACTTCATTTCAAAGTAATCCTAATTCACTCGCTGCTTTGCGAGGAAAAGTGGGTTCAATCAGTCTGTCCTTGTCAAAGCAAAAGAAGTGAAACAACTCAACAGTGGCTTTAGCAATCCCCTCAGCTTCAATGAGCATTTCAGGTGATGGGCAGCATGAGTTTAAATCTGCAGAGCACTTCAGTAAATTCTGTAGAGCACTGCAGTGGTATTTAGTGAAATCGCCAAAACAATTTCCCCATTTCCCCTAAGTTTTCGATTGTCAATAATATTGATCCACCATTTCACCTCAGTAATAATCACATTGATGTAAACTTCTCTTAATAAACTATGAACAAGTTCAAGGAACCATCACATTTACATGTTTCTTCCTTCAGTGCAAGAGTTAAATATATTTTTCTTCTGCCAATTACTTCCTCTCCTGTAGGCGTTTTGATCGTCTCTGCCAACCCCCACCCCCCACTCTTCTATATTCTTTCAGAGGATGATCAGCACCCAGTGCCATTGATTAAGATCACCTTCCAGTACGGTTTAATAAACGGTTTAGTGCTGAAATGGGAGGTGGGTTTTTGGGAGGGTTGAAAACAAATGAGCCAATGGGCTTCTCCAGCCAAACCTCTCTTGTGATCTTGATTTCAGACCTGAGTGGCCATTCTTTATGCATAACAGTGAGTATTGACGGGCTTTAAACTGCGGCGGATGTCACAAATAGTCCCAGTCCTGTCTATGCTCTGTGCCCATGCACGTACTTTAGGGTTGCAATGACAAAGCAGGAACCCTGGCTGACTTTCCTTCTTCCTAACCCGAAACCACTGAGGTCGGACTAGCAGACTGCATAAAATTACACATGTGCAGTGTAAATCAGATTTTCCGTGACTTGTATAGTTTGCCTGCAACTCGGACTTATCCCATCCATATTAAATGTTATTGTCCCCACTGATATGATTTATCTGAGTTTTACTATATGATCAAAATAACAAGCTTGGTAAGTGAAAAGCAAATAATAATAATAATCTTTGCATTTGATATAGCGCTGTATCACACCTTCAAGACGCCTCGAAGAGCTTCAACAGAATATACCGTAAAGTGAATTGACTGTATATTTTGTGGGCGAAACAAGGCAGCCAATTGCACACAGCAGCGTGCCACAAACTGGATTGAGTGACTGATTTTTTTTTGAAGGAATTATTATAATAAGGAAATATTATTCAAATCTTCAGAAAGGAGATATGTTCTCCAAATATTGCTTAATTCCCTCCCTGTTTCCATTTAAAAATATTTTAGAAAATTAAAAAAACTTTTTAAAGAATAGAACCTAGAAATTGCAGCACAGAAGAAAGCAATTTAGCCTATGTTAAACTAATGTCAGCTCCTTTAGTGGTGCTAACTAATCTAACCTCAATTTCCGTCACCCACCCAATACTCGTTTATATTGTTTCTCTTCAAATGTTTGTCCAATTCCTTTTTTAATGTTATATACTCAGCTGCAATAGGTACTTGTAGCAAATAATTTCATGTTCTAGAACCCTCTGTATTAGTTTTTATTTCTAAAGTATTCTCTTCTCTTCCAGTGACGATCCTAAACTTGTCTCCAGGTTAGTCATCCAGCCACCTTAACCATCCATCTCCCAGGATCACAAATGGCAGATGAGCTGGGTTTGATTCCCCAGCAGGGCTAAACATTTGGCTAATTTACTTAGCACAAGTACGAACCCGGTTGTTAGTCGATTGGCAGATCACTTTTCCAGGGATAATAATCCCTTCAAAACAAAAATAAAGTTAAAAAANTAACAATTTGGTCGCTGTTTGTGGGAGACTGCCCCATTTAGATTTTTTTTATATAATAAAAAAGGTATTTGTTTTTTTTAACTCTCACCGGTTGAGAAACGTTCCGAGCATTCTCTTTCGTTTTGTTAAATCTTGCGAAAGATCAGCATTAAGAAAATAAGATTGAAATGTAGATCAATTCGTCTGTGCATTTTCAATTTGTGAGCTGCAGATACAAATGTGACCTGAATCCTTAAAACACCCTTCAGTGTGTCACCCATATTGACAAACTTCTCTTTGTTCTTTGATGAAAATTCAGTGAATGAGGTGAATTGTTTAAAGTGAAAGAGGGTTAATTTAGCAGGAAACTGATTAGCTTCCTTTGTGAAAACAGGGTGAAAATTATTATAATACTCTGTCACTACAGCGCTTACAAGGGGCCATTATAGTGAAGGAACCGTTGAGTATGATCTGAAGTGATTTTCCACTATTGCAAATTGAGGACTGTGGGGTGCTGTGTATTGTTGAGCGGGGATCATTGCGCAGTGCTACACGGTTCGTGGCAGCTCATGCTAATGAGCTTATTTAAGCTGGTGTAAGATGCTCATGAAATGACCATCACCTTTGACGGCGTTCACTTTGATGTTGTGCTTGTCATTAAAGACACTTTGTTGTAGATTGAGACCTTTCATCTCCAAATGAGAGGCGAAATCTGAATGAGGAAGCTGAGCTGGAGGAGGTGGAAGTGCCAGCTGCAGCAGAAAGCAAATGCACAAAAAAGGAGCATCTCTCCTTTATCCCTGCTCTGTGAAAGAAAAACAAAGCTGCTCCATTTACCTTGCGCTTGATATGACCTGATTAAATTCAGACCTATTTGCTTTCACTCTTCTGTGTTCTGACTTCTGTGTTTTTTTTAAAAAAACATAAATTGATTGGATAATTGTATGTGTTTGAAATATTGCTGGTTTCTAAAAACGATATTTAGGGTGTGTTTTACCGCGTTGTCATGTATTGTAGGTACAGCATACTTGAGCTCCATTGTGTACTGAGCAAGGTTGAGCATTAGAGGGTGAAATACAACATTAAACTCACAGGCTGTGGTATACAGGCTGTGGTCTTCTTTCTTTGCGTACAATTGTAGAGGTTTTGTTGAAAGTTAGAATTGTTTTATATGTATCAGGATTGGACAGATGTTATTTGGGCAAGGTCAAGCAATGGTGTGGTTGATCAGTGGCACATTTATTGTGGGAGGTGCATTTCACCTTGTGAAGCTGGTTGAATTGAAATGTTTTTTTATGTTTAGCTGACAATCTAAGCAAGCAATTGATTTTTCATTTAACTAGTCTTGATAGAAGGGTAAGAATTTCACCTCTGGTCAATCAGAGTTAACCAAATTACAACAATGATCCATAGGCTCCACTGTTCCTGATATGAATCTTCTATGTCCCTATTAAAGCTCCAAACTGGGACTTTATGAGCTCACATTAGGCTGATACTCCAGTATAGTGCTGACAGAGTGCTGCTTTGCTGAAAGTGCCATCCTTCTGATATGTTAACCCAAGGTCCCAGCTGACTGTACTGGTGGATGTTAAAGATCCCGTGGCAGTAATCAAAGCGTGTATCAGTGGGTATGCTCTATATTCTCCCCGACTAGATAATTATTTTGGGAGGACAAGTTTGCAGGGCTATGGGGAGAGAGCGGAGAAGTGGGATTGATTTGGATAGCTCCTTTAAAAGAGCCGGCACAGACATGATGAGCCGAATGGCCTCCTTCAGTGCTGTATAATTCTATGATTCTATGAACGTGAAAGGTGCTACATAAATTGTATTGTAATTGTATTATTCCTCAGTGTATATCCTCCATATACCCCATTATTCCTCAGTGTACCCTCTATATTCCTCAGCATGTGTTCTCTATAATCAACTACAATAACAGCTTGGATTTATATACGCCCTTCACACAGGTAGCCTCTCAGAGTTCTTATCCCTGCTATTCTGCAGTGTGTTGTAGTTAAATACCCCATTGTTGACCTGTGTCCCTCAAAATATACCACTTTTCATAACATCTTCTCCAAATACCACATTGTCCCCATGGTACATCTTCCCTTTTCTGCAGTGTATCTCTATATGTCCCATTCTTTCCCAGTGTGTCTGCTGCAGGTCACTATGTGCCCCACTATTCCCCACTGGGTCTCTATAAACTCCACTGCTCTGGTGTTGGTGAAGGTTCAGATTATTCAATGGAACCTATAAATACACTTCAGTCAGAATTTGCATCCATCATCTTAAGAATATCCTGTTCCAATGCTTTCCTCACCAGCCTCTTGAACTCCAGAAGCTTTAACTGTGAGATACCCTGTTTGCCCAGAAAAAATGCAGTCACTACACTTTACAGTAAAATTCTGTGATGCGCTTTGTGTTGTCCTCCCGATGTTATATTTGTCAAACCTTTGTTGTTGTTGAACATGCAAGAGTAAAATTCTCTTCACAAAATTTGTAATACGAAAGGAACCTGATTTGGGTTATATTTTGATCCCAGATATTTATCGTCCGTTGTAAATGGAGAGGCAGTTCTTAGATAAGCTACATATTGTACAAATATCTTTGTTTCCTGGTGTACAATTAACAACAAATGGGAAGACAATAACGGTGCTTACAAAGATGATTCCACTCTCGAAAGGCTTTGCTATCAGATCAAACATAAATGGTCCCCTGTGGAAATGAATTAGTGGAAAACACAATCAAACTGGAAATGATAATCTGTGGACTTCATTTTACTAATGCACATTAATTTTGTTACATTTGTTTTGCTGCCTTCTGAAATAATAGTGGCAGGGCGAATTACTTCCCATGGCTTACTGTATATTTGCCCTTTCTTTGCTGCTGTTCGCAGGTTGCCTTGTCAAACACTGGGCACCGATGTTGTCCACTTCTAAAGCTCAGCAGCTCCTGTTTCGCATCATTGATTGCCTGCTCCTGCCTCATGCCCTGTTTCACCAGGACAAAGAACTGCCTCCAGCAATGCTGTCTGCCATTCGAGATAACTTGCCTCTGTATCTCCAGGTGAGCACTGACACTCCATAGCCAGTCACCCTTGGCATATCCTGCATCGGTCACATACATCCTCTAATTGTTTTTTTTTGCTGATTAGGTTCTGAATGATAATATAGTTTATTTTCCTCCCCCCACCCCAATTTCTAAGACACTCCTTGTACTGTATGCAGGGATGCTCCAGGTTAAGGATTACCCTGTTGCTAACATTTCTGTCAAATCATAAGAGCTGTATAATAAGAATAGGAATCCTTGCATTTGATATTTGGCCTCATCATGTCGTTGAGACGTCTCAAAGTGCTTCGCAGGGTATACTGTAAAGTGGAGTGACTTTGTATCCAGGATGTATTGACCTGAAATCTGATATAATGCTTGATTATTATATTTAAAGAGCAAACAACAACAACAACAAGATTACATTTGTATAGCGCCTTTCACGTCGGGAGGACATCCCAAGGCGCTGGACAGAGTACAGCATGTCAGACCCGAGCTGGGTTTGGGGGGGGGAAAGGGGGGTAACCGATGGCATGGTCAAAGAGGAGGGCCTTGAGGCGGGACTTGAAGGAGGCTAAGGAGGGAGTGAGGTGGAGTGAAGGGGATGGAATTCCAGAGGTTGGGGGCAGAGTAGCTGAAGGCTCTCCTGCCAATGGTGGGACGGGGGACGTGGAGCAGGCCAGAGCCGGCTGAGTGGAAGGAACCGGCGGGTTGGTAGGGGGTTAGGAGATCGCAGAGGTAGGGTCCTGAGACTCTAAATATTATTGAAAAATAGGAAGCAATTGTTGTTAGAAAAAATATTTGTTATTGATTTAAGTGAAATGCTGTTAATTTCCTTCAACATTGTATCAGACACTTGGATTGCAATACTCATATTGGGAGTTACTTGGGGGAAAATATATTTAACTGGAAAAAAAATTCACTGTATTAAAAAAACATACCATTTATTCTGATCATGCAAACATGTATTGTGGTAATTCTTTTAAGGTAACTAACCATATGAGTAAGAGTGAGATTTTAAATACAGCTTGAATCTTGTATTTATTATCTTTTATATAATTTTTTTTCTTGTGAGGAAGGGGAAGAATAAGCAGGATCTCCTTGGAGCTTTTCTAAAATGGTTCCAAGATGACTCGCTTGGCAACAGAATATCAGAACCGAATCAATCCTCGGTGGCACTCTCGGTAATCCAGTTTCTGAGCCAGACAGGGGTATAGATCTCCAAGGCACAATGGATGAGAAATCAGCCAGCCTGGTTCATTGGCAGACCTTGAAGGGGCAGACCAGTCACTGGGAGTAAGGTGTCATCTCACGCAGCTCCTGTTAACCTTGCAAGCTAAAGCCCTTTTGGGTAGAGTGGTTCTTGATGGACAAGTAGCAGAAAGCTTGCCAAATATTTTAAGATCAGTTATAGTATATATCACAAAAAAATAATTGCAACATCCTCATTCGGTTGGGGGACAAATTCAACCAAATGGTGGTATAATAAGAGGAATTTTTATTCAAGTGACTTAACCGTGAGTATATTTCCATGTTTATTGAAATGAGAGAATAAAGTGACAGCAGTTTCTGTCTGTTGTGCCAGTCACTGATTGTCCTTCACCCTGGATCTAACCTCTTGTACCTGACATTGATGTGTTACTTGCTGACAAGGGTTGACCAATAATGGAAATTGTCCTGTTCCTCCTCTCGCTGACCCTGTATTGATGAGTGCATCGTTCATTGAAGAAGATCCAGCTAATGCTAAATGCCTCTGACATTGACAAGGTGATAAAAGCACAATATCAGATGCAACGATTATTATTATTGTGTTGAGACAGCTAAGTGTAGTTTGTGTATTACCACAGATATAAAGTTGATGCAACCAGTCCGTTGGGACACAGAGTGACAAGAAAATGCCTGCGATTACTTGGCTGAACTTTCTTAGGCATGCTGTGGGTGGCACAACTTAAAGAAACTACAATAGGAATCATCAATTAATGTATTCTGAATTGCTTTTCAAACCCATGTGAAATTCCCTCTCTACGTTTGCAGGGATTGTCAACTATCGTTGGACAGACTCAGATTCAGGGTGCCTATGTTAAACAGCAGCTGCGGAGAATTGTTCAACACTACTTTGGTCGCTTTCTTCCCTCATCTCCTGGGTCAGGAATCATGAATCATCCAATATTGCTTGCATTTAGTGAATCAGTGTCTGCTGTTCAAGCTCAGAACCTGCGCAAAACAGTTCTTCTGGTGATAAGGTAAGATACCTCTTTGAGTAGCCTAAAATCTCTACAGTGGAATACAGCTTTAGGCTTCCTGTTGTACCAATAATCCAGTTGTACAACAGATTTTCCGTTGATTCAGTGTAGATTTCCATAGTCGATCTGAGTTTGATTGTAATTAAGAAAATATTTCTGCAAATGAGCAATGTTAAGTCCATTATCGAGTGGAACCCTGCAGTTTCTGACTTTATTCTAAATGACCTTGGTTTTTCAGTGAAAACTACATCCAGTTCCGAGGTCATGCTCCTCCTCCTCGCTTAGCGGCAGTTCTCGCATTCCTTCTTGAACTGCTTGAAAGAAAGCCAAGTGCTGACGTAGCCTTTGAGACCAAGCTGCTGCTGCCCACAACTCTGAAATGCCTCATATTGGTAAATGAACCACAAGGTATGTTTTTTTTCCTCTCACTTGACTCAGCCTTTAGACTAAGCTAATTCCTCTTGACTTGACCCTCCTTTTTCAATCACTTCCTCACAAGCTCTGTTGCTTCTCCTCAGGTTTCCTCTTTAACCTGTGAGCCCTGAACATGCAACTAAGTGGACCCAGACAAATGGAGGAACAGTCAACATGCTCTCTTTGTGCTTTCTCCAACTTTAAAATTAATAAAAAAACAAATGGTTTTGAAGATTATCAGCTCACTCCTGCACTTTCCCTCTTCTTTCTCTCATTCTCCCTCCCACCCCCCCAACCCGCTTCTAGGCATGGTGCTGTGACAATATATTTTTGTCAGATTTGTAGCCAAATCCATTTTGCAATGAGGACATAGGCACTATGAATTGGTGACTTGCCAGGTTGCTAGCTTACCCCCTGAGTAAGTAAATCTGTCTCATGCTGCTACGGGATGGGCTTGACTTATGTCAGCCTTAACTGTTATTTTTTCCTTCCCTCCCCCAAGGTGAGATGCTGTGTTACTAAGATGCATCTAAGGTTCCCAGCTGAGTAATGTCTGCTTTTGTTTATATGACAGGTGATCAGATGTTCCATTGAATGACAGTAGTTATGTGTACATTAAGCAAGTCAGTTTTCTTTCTCTCTTCCCCCCCCACCCAAGACAAACTAATTTATAAAATTCACAATATGTGGTTCAGTTACCACATGCATATCGCATTAAAAATACAGCAATCAAGTTAACATGCCATGCTTCACTTCACATATCTGTCAAGCTCCTGATAGATTTCAAGTGACCGAGAATGTATTACATTAGAGGTGGATGACAGATGACATTTCCACGGGCCAAGTCTTGCAGGAACAATTGTATCCCACGGAGTACTGGATCATCTCTGTCTGTGCTTATGCCTATAATATTTATCTTTACCACTTTCCTTTCAATGGAGGCAGTTGACTGTTAGCTGTTTTTACTGCAAGTTTGTTCCATATCACAATTTCAATGCGAGACGAAACAAAATCCCTCTTCTGATCTGTGATCTTCAGTTACGTTGCCCGTGTCAATAAATCGGTTGACACTGGTCATTAAATTATCTGACTGGGTGGGGACGGGACAGTGATAGTAATAGTGATATGATGATTATCACTGGTAATTATTCCCAGGAACAGAAACACCAGTTGTTTTGTGATCTTCCTGCTGACTTCTGGAGAATGGCTTCTCCAAGCCAATTAGAGTTAAGTTGAGGCCATCTTTGATTTTATGGGACATTGTCATGCACGAATTAGCTACAGCGTTCACTCATAAATTACATACAGTTACACCACCTTACAGTTATCCTCCTGCTGTGAAAGATCCTGTACCAAATGTAAGGATTATTATAGTATAGTGAGGGAACTTATCTTTTGATTTCCAGCCGCTGTAACTGATATGCCTCTAACTGTTGAAGAAGCCTGAATCCCATACTTCCCAGAGCTTGATTCAGCTCTTTCCTGAGTCTGAAACGTCATTAGTTAGTTAGTGAAAAATTTTAATCAACCTGTAGGGAACATGAATTTCTAAGACAGTTAATGGCCTAGAAATAATTTAGAAAGCAGAAATTTGTTGTTAGAAATTAGTCCAACAGCTAGGAAAAACTTGCCTACTTCCTGGCTGTCAAGTTGCCACCCACGCTTACTGAGTTCACTCCCTCTTTCCCCCACCTCACCATTTCTACATTATCTCTGGCTTTCAGCACTTTGAAGACTAGAATCAGGTGCCCTATCTGATGTCTTCATAATGTGGACCAAATAGTTAGAATCACTGCCTACTATCCTATGAACTCTATTCAGCACAGTAAAGTACTTAAGGCGATTGCATGTGATATTCCAAACATGGTCTCGAACGGTCAAGGTTTAAAAAATGTCCTTTGACTTACAGCTGATGTTTAACATGGCACACATTTTAAAATGTAGAAATAATCAGAAACTACGGGAACTGTTTTTTGGCATCAGTATCGTTATTTGCAACCTTTCTGGGACATTTACAAGGTCTGTCAGCCATCACTAATTAGCATTTCCGATCAAAGAAGCTTGCAGCAAAAATATGCTAAAGACCATTTGATTCCTTAAGTGTTCAATATTTAAAGCCGCATAAACTACCCTATCATTCGTATTATATATCATGGTGATGTGAAATATCACTGAGCTATTCAGTGTGCAGTACTTTGTGTCCTCTCTAATTTAATTTTACTAGATTGCACCCTGGGTGTCTTGTATTTTGTGAGGTTACACATAAAGTCAGACATGTCAGATTAAATAATCATCCTATGTTTCTTATTCCCAAAGTTGAGAAAAAAAACAGAATTGTCAAGTAGTGCATATAGAATCATGTTTGTACCGTTGCACAGCTCTGCAACATCTTTTAAAGTGGTCCTTTGTAATCACCCTGACAACTGTTTTAAGTGACATCAATTACACTTGCCTGAACCGCTGTTTCATGCTGATCTCCAATTCAGAAGCAGCTGTTCAAAGTTCACAGCAGTAAAAGTAAAATGTTGCTCTGAGCGACAGTTGGAGACTTGATGTGGCCATCATAATAGTTGCTCTTGTGATTTATAATCGATAAATATTCGGTGACAGATTTGACCATACTGTGATCTACCCTGTTAGTGTTGCTTTCATCACTGATTCACTTTCAATGTGAAATGAACTACTTTGTAGACCTCAGCCGAGTTAAGAGTATCAAATTTTCATTGCAGTTTGCAGTTGGGATGCCACAAACAATCTTGTAATTGCTTTAAAAGGTCTCCTTGTGACATTGATGGATGCAATATTTTGGAATTCCGTAAATTGTGACAATATCCTGATAAAAAGGTTCTCATTACTGTTCAGCCTCTTCCTTTATCTTGTATTACCACAATCAATGTGACAAAGGTCTGCTTTATAATAATAATAATAATATATGCACAATGGTATTCAGTAACATCCAAGCTTGCACTATAAGTAGTTGCAAAGTACCTTACAAAATTAAGTACAGAATGGATTCTTCCATTAAAAGTAAACACACCCGAAAGCTGCAGAAAAATGCATTTCCCCAGACTATATTTTTTGTGATGTATCACTCCTGTTTATGACAGCAGGAAGTGTTGATGAGAACCTTGACTGTCTGGTTGACACTCAAAACAACAGAAAAGGAAACATACAGTGTCGAAACTGAAGAGGTTCAGGCAAAGTTCAAGATTACTAACAGTACAGTTACACACACAATTGTATATTTAGCAAATACTTTAATCTGTTGTGTAAAGAATATAAAGGGAGTATGATTAAAGGCAGCACTTTCTCCACTTTCCACCAGCTCAATACAGTTATGTCATTGTTGGAGGTGCCATGCTTCAGATGAGACGTTAAAGTGAGGTCCCATCTGCCTATTCAGGTGTATATTAAAGATCCCAATGGCCTATTCGAAAAGAGAAGGGAGGTTCTCCCAGGTGAATAATCCCCCAAATTGGTCCCTGACTCCATGGCTGTTTGTGGGATCTTGCTGTATGCAAACTGGTTGGTGCGTGTCGCCCACAAAATACACAGTCAATCCACTTTACAGTATATCCTGAGAAACACTTTGAAATATCTCAATGACATGATAAGGCACTACATCAAATGTAAGGATTATTAGTATAATTATTACTGATTGTTTCACATGTCTCTTTTGGAGTAGGAGAAACAGACCTATGGCTGGGACCAGTTAGCAACTGTTTTTGGTTGTAAAATGGATGATCAATGCCGAAGTATTTTCCTATAGGTTGTCCAGCCTTTCACTGCATGTAGCTAGGGATTGATTTACCCAACGCTACAGGTGATTGTTCACTGTCAATTGCAGTGCTGTTATTGCCTATCTCAAAGGCAGGGATCTGAGAGGAATTTGACATAGGACTGAAAGGTACTTGGTATCAGGGTTTGAAGCTGAGCGACTTTGTCAACAGTCCTTTGTTTTGCTCTTGGACTATACTCAGAATATTGGTTGCAGCGAGATCAGCAGCTCCCAGTTGGCTTACCTCAGAACCCTAGCATGATTTAAGCTCCTTAGGCATACTCCAGATTGGTCTTTTAGTGGGGTTGTCATTGTCGAGTATTTAGGGACAAGTAGATTTTGAAGGAAGGAGTTAAAATCCATCCTTTGTCATCTTTAAACAACTCAGATAAGTTATTTTATGTATTTTGTATTACTCCAATCATGGCGTTTTCTGTTCTTTTTTTCCCAGTAAAGAAAATAGTCTCCGCAGTTCTGCAGCGCATGATTGAAAATTGTCAATTGGTGTCTCCAGATCAGCCGTGCATTCACTTGACTTCTGTACTAAGGTTGGTCTGCTGCGCCTTAGATAAGAGCAGTAAGATGCTATTTTCAGGATTTGTCTTTACAATGGATTGCGGCCCAATTGTAAAAAGAAACACATTAATGGGAGCAATATAAATTTCTCCAGACAGTTCATCCAAGAGTACATTGGAATATACGATCACCAGGTGTACAACGTCATGGAGAAGGTGACAGCACTGGATCGAGATTTGGTCATTGGCCTCATCCCCACTCTTACTCAGGCTCTAACGGAAGCCGAGTTTAAGCAAGGACTGGGCAGACGCCATTCACAAAGGTGAGTCTTATTCTCATAAGTGTGCAAAGCCCTTTAGTTCTGAACAGGCTCACGTAAACATAGTTTTTTGCTTTCAAAACTTGAATTGCACCTAGTTCTGCAGTCACAGTAGTTAACATTGCACTGCTTCAAGTGCTGCCCTATTAAAAATATTCTTGTGCAAGTTAATAGTATTCATTTTTTAATAAAAAAGTATGTTCCAATTATTATTTCAATTTTTTTCCCGGTGGCATGTTTCTCTGCGTGTGATCTAGCCTCCTTGGGCTTCCACAAGTGCGAGTGCCCTCTGTAACGCAGCCCGAGTGACCATTGTTCATGTGTGAAATTGAGCAGTGAATGTCAGCAGATCACTTGACTCTAGAGGGCATCAGAGTGGAGCCTGACCTCTCCCCACCCACCTGCCACTCGTGCACACTATCAGTAATTTGGTGCTGTAGATCATTAAGAGAAGAACCCTGGCTGTTTTTTCTTTCCCTAAGCCTGGGAATGCTGGCATCACTTTGCCCTCCCTATGATATCCTGTTTGATACCAGCAAACTCAGCACAGACTAGGATTCAAACCAGCGAGCTCCTGGTCCATAAACTGCAGCTCTATCCACTGCACCAAAGGAAACCAAGAGTCTCATTAGCTCACCTGAGACTTACAATGCACTTCACAAACCTGTTGCAGGGAGTCCTACAGAAGGCTGTTGTCTCTTCTTGGAGAGCCAGGACAAGCAGAAATCGTTAAGCTGGAAAAAGAAAGCGATTAGCTCCAATGCAGAAGACATTTTATAGAAGCATACCATACACTGCATCCTTGACAGCAAACAGTAGCTTCTTACTGAGAAGGTACTGAATCCATCTGTATATATACAATACACTCTTTTGTATATAAATTTATTTCTCTTTGTAACCTAATATCTGAGAAATCATAGTTTTAAGTAAAGTTTTGAAATATATTTTTATTGTCTGTCTTTTTTATTGTCTTTTTTATAATAATATATGCACAATGGTATTCAGTAACATCCAAGCTTGCACCATAAGTAGTTGCAAAGTACTTTACAAAATTAAGTACAGAATGGATTCTTCCATTTAAAAAACACTATTTTACATGATAGAATTGCACTTGTTAATTGTTAACTAGATTTCAGAGCTGTGCAATTCTAGGCGAATGGAACCAGAGACTGACCGACATCCTCTGATTGAAATATAGCCTTTGTGAATATTGACGCTTCCCAAGAAGAAAAATGGGAACTGATTAAAAACAAATTTGGATGCAGTTTTGCCTTTTTTACAATGCAAAATGCAACCTCTGCAGCAACCGAAACATAGATCGATTAGAAAGGTTTTCTCTCTTCATCCTGACACAAATGAGATGAAGTGCACTCGCTTTAATGAAACATAGGCTCCAGATATCAGTAAGTCCATCATTTTTGTACTTTTAAGTCTTGCTTTACGTCCCGTGTTGTTTCGCTCAGCTCTGCTCCTACTTTGAAAGACAAAGGGGTAGTGTTGTCCTGAGGTTTATTTGGCAGCATTTGGAAAATGTAACTTTGGATTTGTATGACCATTTTAGAATATGCTCAAGTTGCATTCATGTGCTTCTTGGGTAATCATGTGCGTGCTATTTTGCTACAGGAAATTGTGGAGACCTGTAGCTCAATCGTTAGAGCACTCGCCTCACAAGTGAGAGACCTGGGTTCGATTCCCGGCAGGGCAAAATCTTGGGCAAATTACCTTACTCCACACACCTGACAATAATCCCTCAAGAAAAAAAATAATAAATTGGTCACTTCAGTCCACGATTGCTTGTGGAACACTGTCCATGGTTCGCCCACAAATATACAGTCAATTCACTTTACAGTATATTCTGTGAAGTGCTTTGTGACGTCTAGAAGACTTGAAAAGCGCTATATCAAATGCTAGGATTATTATTATTACCTGAGCATGTATTTCTTTTCACCCCTTCCCTTTTATATGTGACATCTGTATCCAAGATGGGAAAATAATGATTATCCTGATAATAATAATAATTGCATTTGATAGACATGGAAAGCACTATATCAAATGCAAGGATTATTATTATTATTGATATCACACCTATAATATCTCAAAGCATTTAACAGGAAATTTCCAATAAGGACCTATATCAAATTACTATTATTAAGATTGTTGGATGAATTTAAGTTTAAGTTTCAGCAACACAAACCAGTGCTGCAACCAAGGGGACCACAGGGTTTTAATGTGGGGTCGTGTTGTATGGTATTGTGTGCCATATATACTCACATTGAATACAAATACTAGCCTTTATAGCCAACATTGGCCTAAACCCTGGTGTCAGGGAATCGGGGACTTCCAGGACTTTTGTACGCTGCAAGCCACCCACAATGAAATGATTCACCTACAGCATCGAAGACTGTGGGACACTCAGGAGAGATAATATTGTCAGCTTGGATGAGCAAACTCGAGATTTTAACTGCAACTTGGCTCATGGCTTCCACAGCTTGTCACATCCAAGAGTTTTTGGCGTTTGTTTCTATGTAACATGGTCGGGTTATCTCAGCTCAGTACTCAAAATAAATAAAAAGGTGCAGCTCTGCAGATGTGTAACCTGCTCAGCAGCATCAAGTAACCAATTGCGACATTATTTGTGTAGCAAAATTTATACGACATAATTTGCTTTGCAAGCGTTCAGGCGTCATGATAAATCTAGATGCTTTTTATGATTTGCTTTTGCACACACACATGTGCTTTATCTGGGATTTTAAGATGCTTTGCAATCACTCTGCACCTGATGACAGAATTGTATGTTTTTCAACCTTTCAATGTTTTATAGAAATCACCAGAATTAGCTGGAGGTGAGTGATTGTTAAAGCTCAATGAGTTTGAGTCGGTTTTAAATAGTTTTGGCAGTCTCTTCTGAAGTCATGAAATGTAACATTAAATACGAGTCTATATTAAAAAGCAGAAAAGCTTGGAAGTGCTGGTAGCTCAGTATCTAGAGGAAGACAGAGCATTGTTTTGGATAATGGCCCGCTGTCAGAAGTGGATGCGTTAGACATTGAAGAGATGACCTCCAGTGGTTGTTTATTTATATTCCAGATTGATTGGTTCCTGTTACCAACAAACCAGTTGGAATTTGTAATAAATGTAAGTTGTTGTTGTGTATGTGCTGTGTGTATATATATGTGTACTATCTTATACATTATATATAATGTATTTAGATAATATATGAAATGCTCTTCATTCTGATCTTCATATACCTGTAGTACTGCAAGCTTGCTTAGTTATCAACGTTCACAGACCCTTCGATATCATTGACATTGGGATAATGCTAACAATCCACCTATCTATCTGAAAAGATTTTCTTTGAAGACTTCTGTGGCCTTTTTTGTGCTGTCTCCAGAAACCAACGTTAGAATAATGTGTTGAACGTAACCGGGATTTTGCAAAGAAGTGCAGTAATACCACACTGCAGTGAGTGCTCACTGTTAAACATGTTAAAGTGACATGGATACATTCAGAAGATTTTGAACATTCTTTTCTATTTGAAGCTGTGTGTGATTGGACATGTTTATGTAAGTCTTGCTGTTATTTATCAAAACAGAAAGGTTTAAATGCACACGCAGGAGTTTTAATTTGGACTGTTACAGCTTGTTAATTACCACCAATTGCCACAATCGGTGTGTTCTGCCAGTACTTGGGAATGTAGGAACAAATTATCAGTTCACTTCATCAGCTTTCATTACTTGCCTAAATGTAGTAGCTAAAAGCCTCTATAGACCACTTACGGGCCCAGAACTGCGAGATCCTCTTTCAGTGTGAATGTGACATATGAACTTGTTCTGTAACTACTTGTAAAGCGCAGGCACCTGGGACAGGTTTTATGTGTCCCTTGAGTACTGGCTATGTCTGAAAGCTTCAACTAATAAAGTCTGATTTATTCAGATATCTTCGTAATTTGAGTGCTTGTGATGAAGCAGAGATAGCAAAACAGATGTTTGCGGTATCACTTCCTGAATTTAGGCCACAAAGTAAATTTGCACTTTCAAACTGTTATGTCGGTGCAGATTAGTACAAGTTGTTTTTATTTAGGATTGTGTTACAAAGACAGTCTGCGGGGCAGCACCAAACAATAAGCAGAGATGTGATATGTTTTGACAGCAATGATTGTTTTTTTTGGGGGGGGGGAATGTGGGAGACATTTATAATTTAAGCTCCATGTAGTGAATAGATTGCTTTATTAACCTGAATCTACCAACCAAGGCTGGCTTATTGATTATTGAATTGAACAATTTCAAATTGTTAAGAGTCTAAATCATAGGATCCCTTCATGCCCTGGCACCTCCCTACGACTGCTTACTCCCACTACCCACTGCCACCGCTCAACTGGCTCTGGCCTCCTGCTTGTCCCTCCTGTGCTTTGTCCCCCCAAAAATTGTCCTTAAAAACAAAACACCAACCATCTCCCACCAACACTTGGTTTACTGGCTTCTTTTTTGGATTCTGCAAGCTTGAAATTCTTAATTCACTGGCTGGTGATTTTTGAAAAATGACAATTAATCTAACAAGGGTGGTTTGCAAATTTAGATACCCATTGTGTCTGATTCAAATACAGTATCACTTATTGAAAAGCATTCCCTTGATGATATACACATATTGAGCTATCATAAAACTTTACATAACCTGATAGTTCAAGCGCTTTGAGGTGTCCTCCCGCCTTGAAAAGCACTACAGTACATAAATACAAAATGTATTTAGTTATTGCAACAAAGAATCTAATAGCTTGAGCCATTTGAGATTGTTTTAATGTGTGTGATAGGACATCCATTGATTCTTCGTCTGCTGAGTAAGATCCAAACTAGCAGCATTGGAAATATTTTTATAAATTTCAATCGCAGAAAGGCTACATTTGAAGTATCATTCAAATCATTGTCTGCAAAACATTATCCATCCCCCAGTGGCTAAATACTGTTCCAATTACTTCCTGTAGAGTGCAATTACAAGGTTGCTATGAATCAAATATTAACAATAAAAACACTTTTGTTTACTTTAAAAGCTAAATTAATATAAGGTTTGTAAATTACAACAAAAGCTTGGCAAAATCTACTGAGTCTAGGAGTTTGGAATTGTAGCAATAATGTGAGTATGATCCTTTCAAAGCATTGATTTGAAAATGCTGGTTAATGTATATCACACATAGGTCATTCAGCTCTTGAAGTACTGTCCTTGATGTCCAAAAGTAAAAATGCTCGTTCATCACAAAACCATTTACATTTGTCTCTCACACTCTCGAATGAAGATACAAAAACTGTTTTTTGAGGTTTTGTTTACTGAAAGAATTACTAATAATTCTTGCATTTAGTGTAGCGTCTTTCACATCTCAAAGCGCCTCACAGGATTTTACTGTGAAATGTAATGATTGTAGATTTGTAGCTAATTTGCTCACAGATCCCACAAACAGCAACAAAGTGAATGACCAATTTTATTTTGGGGATTTTTGACCAGGACACTGGTAGAAACTACCTTCTCTTTTGCACAGTGTCATAGAGAAAGAGCAACGATTACTTAACCCCAGCAGATGAGCTGGCACCATAGGCCGATTGGCCTCCTCATGTGGTATAATTTCTATGGGGCTAAATGTACCACAGTCAGTGCCTTCAGAAGAGGGGACATGAGAATGTTGGCGAATTAAAGCAGTAAGTTATTTTACGACCGCTTAACTTCCAACCAAATTGTCTATCAATTTGATGGTAAAAGAGTAACTTTAGTAATGTGACTAAGAAGGAAACCTGTGGTTGTTCTTGTTCTCTT